CCTCCCCCCCCCAGATTTCTACTTCCAAAGCTTGGAACTGTCACGTCCGGAAAAAAACCACGAGCCCCATATAGATTTCCCATTTCCTGCTTTGTGCACGGTCCCCGGGACCGCGTCTTCCGCCAGACAGCGTGACCCCTCTTCCCAACCCAAGTGTGTCCTTAATGACACGGCCTTTCCCTTTCTGGTACACCTCTTCCCTCTGTGCGCAGCTGTAGCCCCACAAGTCCAGCTGGCTGAGAAGAATAGGCCAAACATTCGACTCGGCTGGGTCTCTCCCGGCTGATAAATAAGCATTTCTTTCCCCAGCCCGTTCTCCGCCCCCCACCAAGGAAAAGCTCAAAAGCCTGCCCCAAATAATTCATGCCCCCACACTTTGGGGAAGCTCAACTTGAGGTCGCCATCAGGCTGACATCAAAGGACAGCTGTGCCAGGGAGGCTGGCCCTGGGTTCCCCAAACCAGCTCCACATCCGGGGCTAATCTAAAGCTGCAAATATTTGCCTTGCCTTCATTTTTATGATATTGTTAATCGCACTTGTTGCCGACGCGGGGGAAGGAAAATCAAGGCAGCTGGTGCCAACATCGATAAAAACAAGCGCGGGGTGTGTGTGTGGGGGGCGGGAAGAGCCCACTCTATCAATGGCAGCGAAGTGGCACGCTGCAGACAAGGGCCGATGCCCACCTGTATCCTGAAGCTGTGGAGATTAAGATATTTGCTTTTGAGATGTTCAGATGTAGCTTTGCAACTTACGAGCCGGCTTTAAGATGCCAGCATGTGATTAAGTGCCCATACTATTCATCTCGCTCTTCCAGGAAGTGGCATCGTCCTTCCCCCACTGCAGTGGGTTCTCCACCAAAGGCAGTCTCCTTATCTTCCTCGCCCCAATCTTCCCGGGGAGCAAGGATACCCGCCCGTTGCTGCACAAACTTCCCTTATTTCTGCCTTACGAGGACAGCTCAGTCCTACAAAAGATTCCATTGTCTGTGGTCTGGCCGTCTATCAGAATCTATGCGATATGTGAACTCTGCCACCGTAGCTTATGGTTTTGTTCGTTAGACAAACCCACCCCGTTGTAGCTTGTTCAGCGCCCGCCAAAGGTTTAGGGGAGACAGATGCTCCTTTGCACCACAGCTCCGTGCAAAACAGGCCACTGTTTTCTAACCGGGCTGCAGAAATCAGGATCGTCACTACGTGGCCAAAACAACACCCAGGACGCTGTGACGTTCATGGTCTTCCGAATTTTAGCAGCTCCTATAGGATAGCCTCCCTAGATGGCAGAGGGGACAGGCTGAGCCAGAGCGGCAAAATCCATCTTCCAATATTCAGCTGCCAACTGAACCCTAACGTTACAGTGGTCTGTGGCATTCTTCTTGCCCAGCCTTCTCTTCCATGGGGCGAACCGCCAGTCTTCCCCATTAACTGGACCAGAGAGGCCTGTCTGGATTCACAGATTGTGCCATGTTGTGGCTTGTTTTAACTCAGGTTATGCCAAGTGAGCCCCAGTGGACCGGATTCACCCATCTCATTAGGCCACAGTCGATGAAGTCCAATAGATTCCAGAGCACCCTCAACACTATAAACAAACCATCATTCTTAGCATCCTTTGCGCACACAGGCCTTGGCCGCCATCGTGGAGTTACCGCTGTTCTCTTCCATCAAACCGCCAACTCAACAGAATCAGAGCAGCTCAAAAACCTCCTGCCCGCCCCTCCACTTCACAGAAGCAGAAGGTCCTTCAGTCTTACCTTCTGCAGCCCAGAAAATCTGCTTTTCAACACCTCTAAGCAGTGCTAAACAACCTGTGATGAAACAGAGGCCACCCACTTCTGGGGCATCTGAGGTTCACAGGCGCTGGGTCATTAGAACAGGCCTCTTGTTCTAGCGCGCATTGCAGAAGGTTGGACTAGATGTCAAGGATGTCCTCCCTAATATTGAATCATTTTTTCCCCATGCAGTTTTAATCTGTTAATTCAAGTGGCTGATTTGCTCGCTTGTGGACCAGACGGCTTCCTCAGCATTTTCAGATGGCCCACCGTTCCTCTACCTTGCCCTTTGCAGGAGGAGCAGAGCAAGTTGTGTACAATCTTGTTTTATTTTTAGGAAAGACGCTACCTTTCCTAAAACCATGCCCATTTTTGCTCCAAGCGTTGCGCTGGCCCTGGTTGGGAAAAAAAAACAGCTGCAGGGAACGTGGGGGGGGGGGAAGAAACTGGGCCTGGTCACTTTGAAATTTGGAAGAATCATATGGAATCCATGATGTTTACCCTAACTGGATTTAGACTGTGAACTCAACAGCGCCATCCCGTTGCAATGTGGGCTTAGTTCCGAGAAACGGACAATGGGCATCGCTGCGTTCCTCTTGATCAGCTGCCAAGGGGTCCAACCCTGATGGTGCCAAAGAGCACTCTCAATAACCCCCACAGGGCCGTGGCAGAACGTGACCATCCCATCTAGCACCACATGGAAACCCACCCAGGTCAGGGCCAACGTAGGCCATAAGGAGACTTTCAGGATGGGGGATCGGAGCAGAGAAACTGTAGGGAGGGGGGTTTTTAATCCTTCCTCTATTCTAGTTTCACTTTAACCACCTCCCCTCCTGCCACCGCACACACACACTGCTGCTTTTCACCCTCCATGGTTTCACATACTGATTTGGAAAGTCAGTCACATTTATGGAATTCGGCCGAGAGAAAAGCTGCAGAGAGGCGGCTTTGGGATGGGGGGGAGGAAAAAGGGCAACATTGTGCGCTACCCCCCCCCCCCCCAGGGCTGGTTGTGAGTTCCCAGGAGGAGCCGTGCCTGAAGGCTGCCCAAACCCACGATTTACCGAGCGTTGCCGCTTAAACCCTACGGCCGCGTCCCCCAAACTCAAGCTCGAGGCAAACTGAGTCAAAATCCAGAGACACTGTTAGAAAAGTGCTCTGGTGATACGGCCCCCCCAGCTGACCTTGAAAAGCTAAGTGGGGCCTGCCTGGTTAGGGCTCGGAGGGGAGTTTCAGGAATCCCAGGGCTGCCAGCTAGATGCATCCCCGAGGAAAGACAGCGGCCAGCCGCCTCCAGCAGACCACCGAGAAAACTGGGGAGTCACCGGGGGTCAGGTTGAAGTATAAGCATCCTCCTCCTCCTCCTCCTCCTCCTCCTGAAACAGCAAAGCCAGAGGCTGGAATATCTGGGTATTATCTGCATTTCTGGGAGGAGACATCTAGGAGGAGGCAGCAAAATTTACCTGGAACCAAACATTCACTGAGCTTTATGGATTCCGCATTACTTCTGAGTCTGAGCAACCAACAAGACCCCCCTGACATTGTCCCAAGAAAAGAAAAACGATTGATGACAGATTACACCCGTTAAGCCGAATTCTATAAACCTGCCCATTTTCCCAGTCAGAAACTTGTCCGGAGACCAAACAGATGAATACCATTTTCTCTGCACCAGGCCAGTCCTGAGCATGAAAATCCAAAATCCAAACAGGGTCCTAACCCAACTGCCTTTCCCTGATCCCTGAAACATTTATCTCTGGGTTATCTTCTGTGAATTCTCCAACTTTCTCCGCCGACTTATTCCCAGGCGTAAGGCCCAGAAGCGTTGCTTTTTCAAGGAAAGCGGGGCTGATTCCGTGTCTGGTGAAAAGGAAAGAGAAATCATACAGCCTTGCAAGGTCTCCCGGCTGCAAAAGCTGTACCTGTGTAACAGAGTCAGGACTAACTAGGTGAGAAAGCATCACCTGCTTGGATTAACACAGCAGACAGGTTGCGATGGGTGACGAGACCTGGTGACTTCAATTCCTGCGCTCAGAGATGAGCACTTGCGAAGGAAAATTTAAAGCTACTCCCCTCAACAAGGGTTGCAGCCGAATGGAAAAAAAAATAGCACGTTTAGAAGGATGAGTAGATGATTAAGAGAAATCTAGCCCACTGAACTGATCCAAACTGACTCGCGAGCCACCGTACCCAACAGCAGTGTCACCATTCGGGGCCTCCCTCGCAGAGGTCCTTACCTATTCCAGTCTCCCGTTCCGTTTAAAGTAATCATTGTCTTATTTATAGACCATCTTCCAGTCTTGCAAGAGCCCGAAGCACCAGAGGGATAACATCACAGTTTGACCGTGGGAATCACCGGTTAAAAAAAAGCGAAGCGCAGCTCGCTCTCACCCGTCCGTTGTGCTTTCTGCAGCCCTCTTGAAAGCCCGGGGAGTGGGAAGCTGAGCAGAATTATGATCGGTTTCCTGCGCATAATATCCAGAAAGAGGCAAGCAGAGCAGGTGGGGCCCTCGCCTTCAGACCTGAGGCCTCGGTTACCAGGCTCAGGGCCTGGAAAGGCTGCGTTGGCATCTTCCGCTCCAGCTCTCGGTCGCGAGAAAAAGAAGGGGGGGGATTAAAGCCACGCATTTGAGAAAGCCGTTCCTTCGATCGGTGTGCCATTTTAACTCTTATCACAATAGCAGCAATCATAATACCACGGAATGATAACTGGCTAAAGTGGGTTGGTTGTTTGTTCAGAATAAAAGGTTTACCCGGAGAATTTGGATTACAATATAAGTGCCTTTAAACAGGAATAAGATAAGTTGGATCAACATTCAGTCGCGGCAACAACGTGGGAACCAAAACTTTTCTTTATTGCTCTAAGATGGCCCATACAAAACACTCACAACGGCTCTGCCAGGTGGGCCATCCTAGGAGCGGCCCCCATCGCTGACTTGATGCCTCAGTTCCTAGACACTCTATCCAAAGGGCCTACCTTGGCCCCACTCACCCCGCGAGGCAAGCCGGCGAGGGCAGGCAGTCGCCGGTTCGCCCGCTGACCTGGTTAAGGGTGCCGTGTGAAGGCAGCCCTTCCCGTTCCGCGCCCAAGGAGCCGTCGGGTCTCCCCGCTCAGTCCGGACCCGCGTCCCGCAAACGAGCTCCGCTGAATTCCGCGCCGCCGCCGCCTTCCAGACGAGGCAGAAGATCGCTCGGGACCCGCCGCCTCCCGCCCCGCCGGCCTCGGGAGCGGCCCGGGAAACGCGGGACTGCCCGCGGCGAGGGTCCTCTGAGCGTG